GCTTCTTTTTTTTTTTCATCCAAGTTTGCATCTTGTATATCTAAAATAGGTTTTGTATTTATATATAAAAAAAAATCTAAGAATCTATTGTATTAAAGCTAAGTGTTGAAGGCAGATGTATAGTGATTATATGATAAGTAGGAAGGCTGCTAATAGTTTCTTGCAGCAAAAGGCGAAGGAAGCGTGGTTAGATGAAGGGGATGCAAATACTAGATTCTTCCACTCGAGCCAGTAGTGGATGAAGATGGAGCGGAATATAATGAGTGGCCTGATATTGAAAAACATTTTGTGGATTTTTATCAGAAGTTGCTGGGACAGTTGTCTACAAGGAAGGCCACCAAACCTAAGACTTTTAAAGTTGGTGTAGTACTGAACAGTGATCAACAATTGAAGCTTATCAGACCAGTGAGATGGGAAGAGGTGAAGGAGGCCATCTGGGTGATAAACGTGAACAAAAGCCCAGGTCCTGACGGGTTTGGAGCTGGTTTTTTCAAAGTTGTATGGGAGGAGGTGGGGAAGGATGTGACTGATGCCGTGTTGGAATTTTTCGATTCAGGCCAGGTACTTGAACAAATCAACTCTACTACCTTAGCATTAATTCCTAAAATAGATTCCCCTCAAAATACCAATCATTTCAGACCTATAGCATGCTGTAATGTTATTTACAAGTGTATTTAAAAAATACTTTGTAATAGATTAAAAGATGTTTTGCCTGTCTTGATAGATGAAAATCAAAGTGGCTTTGTTAAGAATAGGTTAATTATGCACAATGTGCTTATTATGTAGGTATGATTAGGTTGTATGGTAGGAAAGGAATTAGTGGTAGGTTTTTGATGAAAATTGATTTAAAAAAGGCATATGACTCGGTAGAGTGGGAATTTATTGAGGAAATGTTGCTAGGGTATGGTTTCCGGAGCATTTCAGAATGTGGATCATGGCATGCATTTCTACCGCGTCTTTCTCTTTAGCTCTGAATGGCTGTTCTCTTAGGTATTTTGTGGGAAAAAGGGGTTTATGCCAAGGAGATCATATCTCTCCTTTATGGTTTGTGCTTGTAATGGAGTATTTAACTAGGAGTTTGAAGTGTGCTACTAGTTCGGGATTTGAATTTCATCCTCTCTGTAAACAGCTAAAACTGACGAACATTTGCATTGCGGATGACTTAATGATTTTTTGCAAAGCTGATGTTCCTTCGGTTAAGCTTGTCATGGATGTGTTTCAGGATTTTTTTTATGCTACTGGACTTGTTGCTAATATGCAAAAGTCTAAGATTTTCTTTGGGGGTGTGGGGGTTCGGGAGCAGGAAATATTTTGTAATATCACAGGGTTTGGGTGTGGTACCTTCCCTATGAAGTATTTGGGTTTCCCTTTGTCTCCCCGAAAATGGAATCAGGTTGAGTGTCAGGTTATTGTTACTAAAATAGTTGCTAGGATTAGGTGTTGGAGTTCTCGGCATTTGTCTTATACTAGGAGATTGGTCCTAGTGAACTCAGTTTTAATGACTATGCATTCATATTGGAGTAGTGTGTTTATTCTTCTACAGAAAGTAACTGAAATGGTGAATAGAGTGTGTAGGGAATATCTTTGGGGTGGTAAATATGAGGGCAGGGCACTGGCTCTTGTAAACTGGCATGATGTTTGTTGCAGCAAAAAAGAAGGAGGATTGGGTGTTAAAGATGTGAAGCTGTGGTATAAAGCCCTGGTTATGAAGCAGGTCTGTCAGTTGATGCTGAACAAAGAATGATGAGAATCATGTAGCCTTCCATGGAGGTTCTCCTAGTGAAGGGAATGAGCTAGTCCTTCATTCTAGTTTTGGAATGCCAAGTTTACTTTGCAGACCAATAAAGGAAGAAAGGATGGATCTTGACTACCTATGTGATAGGGAGTTGGTTCAAAAGAGCTATGATCAAAGTGATGAGAATGACATTAACTTTGGGGTTCAAACCAAAGGAGATGAAGACCTCATGGAAATAAGTGCTGAAGAGTATCAAGAGAGTTTGACTCGGTGTGCTCCATGAAGATCATTGATCAAGCTAGTGAGAAGAGTCATTTAGGTTCTTGAATAGACAGCCTATTTGATCAAAGTGTTCAAGATTGAGTCCATTGCTACACAATTGGATAGGTTGCAAACTATCTTAATTGTTTCAAGTGTTATTCCAATCTTTTGGAGTCAATAAAGAGAATTCTACAAGTTTTGGAGTAAATTGGAGTTTCTACAACTTAAGGGGCGCAAGACCAATATTCCACTTTTGGAAGGGCGTTCAAGACATTTTACTTCAACAATTTGGAGCTGAATTTCGAGATTAGAGTTAGTCTAAGTCTAGGAGTCAATTTTTGAATTTTTATCTAGTTAAATAAGTCATGTGGACTGAATTAAACTAGAGCGTTTTGATTAGGAGTCTTAGATTCCTTCTAGATATTATCCTACTTGAGGATAAGTCATTTAGATAAGGTTTCCTAGATTTTAGATAGAGTCAAAGAGATCAAGTACTCTTCTACTTTTACTCCTTGGGAGATAAGATTAGAGAGTCCTAATTGGTCTTCTTTTTAGTGGTCTTGGCCGAAAATTCAAGCCTATATATAGGAGGCTTGGCCGAATTTCTTAAGCACCCTTGAGTGGTCATTTTGTTGTCTCTTTTGAGAGTTTTTCCTGTGAGGAATTTTTGTTAAATGGAGTGTCCATTTTTCGTGTCAAGTATGATTAAACCAAGAGGGTTTTCATCTTGTCTTGGATCTTTTGATCTTGCGAAACCGTTCTTTTCAAGTATGCTTCTTGATAGAATTGTTTTAAAACAAAACTTCTTATTTTCATACTACTTCTAGTAGTTCGATTGATGAGCCTTTCCTTTGGCTTGGTGTTCGAATTTCATGATGAGTGTGTTCATGAGGTCCATTGTGGGGTTTGTCCTACTTTTGTTGGATGAGTTGTGCTTTGGCATAAGCATTTTGAGATAGTGTATGTGTTGCATATCTTTGGTTGGTTATGAAGATTACTAATCAATAGTATTCCTTCATAGTTGGGCATTGTTTGCTCCTGCCTTTCTTGAGTCTCTTGATAGATGACTGATCGAGTATATTGAATGGTGTCCTTGCTATTCTTAACGTGGGTTGTTGTTTAATTCGAATCTTTCATGGATAATGTGTTCTTTGCTTGGTTTGAGTTAAGAGATAGAATCACTTAGATAAACGATCGTCTTACTGTGAATTTTCCGTACTCTTTTGAGTTTCACGGGATAGAGAAAATTATCTTCGTACTTTCTTGTTGATGGTTGCATTAACGAAATTTGCTTCGTCTACGAGATTGCTATCAAAGAAGCACTATGGGTTAAATGGATCCATGGCGTATATATAAAAAAGGCCAACTTCTGGGATATCTCTCCGAAAGCTGATTCCAGTTGGCAGTGGAAGCAGCTTATAAAACTGAGAGATTTATTCAAAGAAAGGTTCAGTGGGGTCAGTTGGAAAATGCAAAAGAATGGCTTGTACACAGTTGCATCTGGCTACCAATGGCTGTTGGGTGAAGGTGTGAAGGATTCTAATGCAGCTTGCATTTGGGCTAGTGCTAATATACCGAAGCATGCTTTTATAGCTTGGCTGGTATACAAGCAAAAAATTTTAACTAAAGACAGATTGGTTCGCATGAATTTGAATGTACTTGATGATAGCTGTTGGTTATGTAAAGTAGAACCTGAAACGTGTATTCACATTTTCTTCAACTGCTATTATTCATAAAGGATACTAGAGTTGTTGAAAGGATGGTTAAAATGTAGAAAAATTTCAGGACAGGAGCAGAGATGGAAAATGCAAGTATTATGTATGTGGAGGAAACAGAAACTGAAAAGGTGCATATTCAGGGCTGCTGTTGTTGGGTGTATATACCATTTGTGGGCTAAAGGGATAGAAGACAGTTTGAGATGAAGAAAGGTCACCTGAGCTGTTGATTAGAGGAGTGCAAGTGGAATTGAAGCACAAAATTGGGCAGAGAATGAAGTTAAAGGGCAGTATGGCTGAAAGAAGTATTTTACATCAAATGTTTGATGTATAATCTGTTTTGATTTATGCGGGTTTTGTGTTTCTGAAAGGTGAGATGTAGAGAGGTGCTTAATGACTTCAAAAGTTTTGTAATAGTCAAGAAATGGACCATTTGTAATGAGCTTCACTGTTTTGGTGATCTTGTATAAAATTTACCTTTCCACCAAAAAAAAAAAAAAGCAAAGTGTTGCGAATGAGGTGTTGGTTTAGTGGTAAAACTACCATTGTTCTCAAGAGCAGATCATGAATTCAATCTTCCATTTCGATAAAAGTGAGGGTGACTCTAACCTTGCTCATTGCCAGCTCTAGAGAGCTTATTAAGGAAAACCCACATATCAACCCCCAATTTCGCACCCAAACTTGTCATTCCAGGTTACCTATGGTGGTTTACCTCCCTTTGTGGTTTACAGGCTATTGCAGTGGGCGTGGATTTACCATCTCTGGTGAGGTTACCGCGTTACCAAATAAATGAAAATCTAAGTATTGGGGTGTAAATAGATGAGAAAAGATGTTAAGGGTCTGGTTTCCTAAATATTGTAAATTATTGGACTATATTACAATTAAATTTTTAATAAATACAAAATGCCTACTTCATCGTCTTGCTTCAGCCACCGCCGTCGCCGCGCACCCCCTTCCGTTTCTTTCTCCAGCCACCAAACGGGAGTTGCATCAGTGATTTTCTTCTCTTTCTCCTACTCCATCCTCCTCCTTTTCTCTTCTCTTTTCTTCTTCTTCTTGTCTTCTACTTTTTTGAGTTCATTTCCTTTTTTCATTCTGGTTTGCCGTTGACCGTACCCAGAATTGGTGACCGCGCCGGACACAGATCTCATACCGGTGTCGGCTTGGTGTCATGTCAACACCGGTATAAGCCGAAATCCGGCGAGTCCCAGTAACATAGCGGTATCAGTCGTACTCATTCGGCAGTTGATGTTGCTCCAAAGATTGCAGCTGAAACGGAATCCTCTGTGATGGAAGACAGTGCAAACCGCATAGCTATTCAAAATAACCATGAAAGGACAGATGTTCTTGGTGTTAGGAAAACTAACTTAACCACTGGTGGCTTGGCAGATGTGAAATCCCAGAAAGATGAATCTTTCAAGCACAGTGAAAAGAAATTAATAAGTCGGCCTGTAAAACCTGCCTCAGGGTCTATGGCCCTTGGAACTTTGCAGAAAGTCGCCCCTGTTCCAGAGTCAGCTAGTCTTGCAAATGAGAAACAAAACTCTAGTTTTAGTGATGCCAATGGTACTCAGACTGTTGATTCAGATGCGCATTCCCCTGTGATTGAGAGGAGCCCTAAGGTACTGTAAATTCTTTCTTCTTAGGTCCTGGTTGATGGGTTGTATCATTATTCTTCTTTTTGCTTTTGAATTCGTCATTGCTGTCTAGTCTGCAACCAGATCATTTTGTAAGTCTTGATTTAGATTGGGTCTCTCTCTCTCCCTCTCGCTCTGGAGTAGAGATCTGCTGAACGGAAGAGAGTTGTGCACATCTTTAGTCTTTACATGATCCATTATGGCTTATACTGTAGAATGGGGTTGATTGCAATAGACATTATGTAATACAGAGGGCATATCTTACAATTTAACCAAACCTGTGTCTTGTATCTTTGAGATTGATTACGGCTCTTGAGCTTCATTTTGAAGTCATCATGTATATCTTGTGTAGGAGTTCTATGGTAGTTTCTTTTTCTATTAGTTAGCTAGATTTACTGTATATTTATCGCTTGCTATACATGACTAGTTACGAACTGGGAAGAACCGCTGTTTATGATGAATGTACGCTACAATGGCATAGTAACTCTTAGAAATTTTTTTGAAGTATCTTGCATTATTGGTTATTTGGTTTTCCCCTTAAATCTTGATATTCATCGGTGTAAAGTTTGTTGTCTTGCATATGATTGTGAGAGATGTATGACACGTAATGCGTTATGTATAGTTTGGCTCCTCACAATTGTTGCCATTAATTTGTTCTCTTTATCTTACTTGAAAACAATTTTATAAACTGCTGTGACTTACTGACTTGTTTGGCCTTTCTGTAGTCACTACTTTCTGCATCGGTGAAGTCTATGGATCCTAATGGCAAGAAAGATCTTGATGAAGACGATAACTTATCCGTGGCATCCTCGTATCCTATTTATTAACAACATGATACTGTTTCTTGGATACACATTCATGTAGACTTATTTGCATGCTGGGAATTCATAGGGAAAGGACACCCTCGGTTGTTATATCATTACTCAGAATGCAATCAGTGTTCCTTACCTAGTTTTAGTGTAACATCCATCCGAGCAAACAAATTTGAAATGCACATATAGATTCACTGCCTACTCACAGAACTCTCGCTGACTACCTCTCCATATTCCCAGCATTTTCTCCTGTGTTGAGTAATAAAGGGTTTGTCAGGAAAAAAATGGTTTTCCTTTCAAAAGTCGCATGTGGTAAATTGCAGGATATTTAACATTATAACATTCATTTTACTTGTGAATTTCTTTGTTTAGTTGCTTTCTATGTTCACCTGGGTGGAAATTCTGATATTTCAAAGCATTAATATAAGTTGCATCATAGTCAATCATCATTTTAGAATTTAGAGTCAGTAATCTTTCTTCTTTAAAATATTCCATTATATCATATGTACCAGTAACTTGCATTCTCTCCTTCAGGAAGAGATTGTTAATAACTCCCCTTTTGTAATTCCTGAACTTATATAGAGCAGCAACATCTTTACGGACACTACGATCCAAACTCACTGTTCCTGTAGCTCCAACATTCAAATGTGACAACCGCATTGAAAGGCGGAAGGAGGTATTGTTGGTGTATTCTTTTCTTATAAATTTCCTTGAGCGTGTTGTTACCTTCTATTTTTAATACATCCGACTGCTCCAGCCCCTAACTTTCCCCTAAATTGTAAAGAAAATGAACAAAAAAAAAAGAGCTAAACCAAATTAAAACGTGTGCCTTTAACATTTAGAATATTAGTTTTAACTTTTGTGGATGTAGTTTTTAATGTTTGTATTCGACTTCTGTGTTTCAGTATTACTCAAAGTTGGAGGAAAAACACAAAGCTTTGGAGGCTGAGAAGCTAGAATATGCTGCTAGGACCAAGGTTTGGATTTGACTTCTCTAAGTTTTTGCTTTGTTGCTTTTTGCATATTTATTTAAATTCAGTGCAGATTCATTGTTATCTTCTTCTCTATAGGAAGAAGAGGAGGCAGTGATAAAGCAGCTCAGAAAAAGCATGGTGTACAAAGCCAATCCAGTTCCAAGCTTTTACCGTGAAGGGCCTCCTCCAAAAGTTGAACTCAAAAAGGTAACCTGAAACTTGCATGTTTATTCTAGAGTTCATGTGCACATTAATGGGCTGCTTTGCTGTGGTGATTTCCGCTTTTCATGTGCAGTATGTTAAAAGAAGATTTTTGGTTTGCTAGCTTTTTGAATATCCCATCTTTATGTATTGGGACTTTTAACAAATTCTTGGAAACTAGTTCAAAAAAAGTTACCATTCTGATAGTCTGTGAATTCTGGTTTGGCTAAACATGGATGGTGCTTGGAGTCATTTGCTAATTTTATGTTCTTTCCTGGTGATTCAAGCTCTTTAATTGAAAACATGGAAAATGCCTTGGAAATTCTTTATCTTCCGTGAGTTTGACGCTCTCAAGTTGAAAACATGGAAAATACTGTGGATATTCTCTATCTTTCCTATGATTCAAGCTCTTCAGTTGAAAACTTTTTCAATTGATAAATCAGATTTGTAAATCATATTTCAGATTCACAGATGTATAAACTCTACTTTGCTGCTGGTAAGATGCAACTCTTAGAGAACAAATGTAACTAATGTATTTTGCATAAGTCCAGTTGCCAGTTACTCGTCCCAAGTCTCCAAACCTATCTAGGAGAAAGAGCTGTGGCGATGCAGTTAAGTCAGTTAAGTCATCTCCGGAGGGAAAGGAAGCTTGTGCCAGAGTAAAACGTCACAGCATTGGATCTTTCAGAGAAGGTGGAAATACTCCTACCACCTCCAAATCTAAAGATGCAAGTGTTAGGCGAAATATGCCTGGCAGGGCAAACAGAGAAGGTAGTTCAACTCCTGGTTCTGCTAAAAGCAAACCTACACCAAGCCGGCAGAAGCCGAATGTAAATGGAGGAACTAGAGTGAAAAATAACCCTCCACAGGTTAAAGAAACTTCAGTGACCCGCGAGATTTCAGATACTCCAGTAGCAAAAGAAACAGAAGAATGTGTGGCGGAAATTATGGAAACTCCTGCTGTGCATTGCCAAAAGGAAGCAGACGCTGCTATCGTGGAAGAGGAAATAGAATGTTCTGAGAAAATGATTTCAGAGATTTCTCTTGATATCTGAAGGTTTTAGATCTTAATAGTTTTACTTTCTTTTGAAGCTGAAATGGGTTTTTAGATTTCTTTGTTGCCAAAGGATTATTGGCATGGAGATGGACATTTCCTTTCTTGTCGATGAATGAGTTGAAACCTTTGTTTCGCGGTGTTGTAAATTGGAAGTTATTTATACTGTTAGAAGCCACTCTCGAACCTCCTGACTTGTAGGATGAGCGCAAGGTATTATCACCTTGTTACTGCTTGATCCCTGGAAATATTTTGTTAATATTGTATGATGTTGTTTGGCTGCTTACTCATGAAAATCTTATCTGCCTAGTATGGAACTCCTCTTTTACCTTTTGCAAGTGTGGAAGTGCGACCAAAATTAACATGACCATTATTGTTGAGGATGAAGAATCAGACATACTTTTTGTCTATAATCTAAACCTAAGTTCTTTTTTTTTTTTTTGATTTCAAATATATTGATTGGGGTATTGAGAAATTATGTTCTTAGTGGTTGTCCTTGATGAATGAGATAGTTTTTTGAATGCCACAATAATTGTCTCTCTCTCTCTCTTTTTTTTTTTTTTGAAATTTTATTTGAACCATTATAATGACATCGGGTAGAGAAAAATTCCAAATCTACATTCAAATGTTACTTTAAAATGGATGTCAAATTATCCAATTCCTCGAGTACAGAAGTCTCCTGCAGTTTCTAAGGGAGGAAATTGAGAACTAACTTCAACGCGGGACATTACCATAGGCAGTTTTTTGTCACAGCAGATATCACGCCTTTGATAGTCGCCTGCATGAAACAATAAATTGAGTGTTGGTATATAGATCTTTCAAGAGCATGTATAGTAGTTTATTAGAAATGATTACCCTAGAGTGGTCTTTGAGACCAAGAGACAGGATCAAGGACTTGGAGGACCCGAACTTACTGCATATGAAAAGGAAAATAGAAAGTCACTCTGAATCATGAACAACTTAATAAATAGAAGGGACTTTTTCTTTATTCGAGTACATACCTTATGTGCTCAATCAACTGCCTTCCACAAACCATAATCATCGGCTGCAGGGAACCAGGTTACTACAGGTAAGATATTTATCCTTCGTCTCGAAATAATTATCAGTTTGCATTTTCATTTTAGTATAGATTGATATATCAAGTGAAAATCCAAATATGACAACAATTTGAGACAGAGTGTTTGCAAGATTAGACACATGGGATAACCAAAGCTTACCTCGTCATACTTGCCGAATACTACTGACACCTCAAATGTTGGTTCAGCAAGGGCTGATTCCTCCTTCCTGCCGATTATGGAAAAAAATTTTGGTTTAATTCAAGGACTTCTTGACAACAAAATTGTCAACTACACCCTTTTCTAGTTTGTCAGATCCAGGAAATGAAAGGGTTATCAGAAACCAATTTTATGTTTCTCGCCCCAACCATTGTCTCGCAAAATGATTTCTCGAGTATGAGATAGCAGAAATGTTTTAAAAATGTTTGACATAAAAATTATGCAACTCTCATAGACAACCAAATTTGTCTCATTTCTTTCTATAAATGCCAAGTCACAAAAACTTGTCAGAAAGTTGATAAATGTATGATCTTGTATTATTTGACAAGGCTTACTGTTATCAGGACATTGCAAAGACTTCAACCAATGTGTTTCCAGAAAGACTTCAACCAATGCGTTTCCAGACTTGAGGCGAGAATTTTCATTCAATTTGATTATCAATACCTCATTCAACATTGCTCATGCAGCCAAGGGAACAGAAAAAATTCACACAAAACAACAGGCCATACAATGAAAAGCAGGCTGAGTATACCTGGCATGCAATATGGTACCCATACTTCCAATTTGAGTTACTAAAACCTGAAATTGGAAATCAAAATATAAAAAATACTCCTAAAAAAATTGATGGAAAAAATTAGTATTTGAAACTTACGAAAAAATGATCATCATAGCTGCATAGAACAACATCCGTTGTATTACCCTGAAATGAAGAGAGAGTTACGAAGGAAAAACAAATTAAAATGCTACACCATCATCAAGAGTGTCACAACCTATAAATCTTTTACTTAATCTAATTAAGTTGAACACAGGATCATCTTATTAACGAAGGAAATTTCTCAGTTTCAAAGTTCTATCCTTTTCCCCCTTTTTTCTCTGTTTTTAATCTGAACAAAGAATGATGATAGGCTTATCTCTTAACAAGTAATTTGCATGATTCAAGCTTCTAGGAATTGCATTGACATCAATTAAAGAATAATACGAAGGAAAAACAACTAAAATGCTACACCATCATCAAGAGTGTCATAAACTAAATCTTTTACTTAATCTAATTAAGTTGAACAAAGGATCATCCCACTAACGAAGGAAATTTCTCAGTTCCCAAGTTTTATCCTTTTCCCCCTTTTTTATGTGTTTTTAATCCGAACAAAGAATGATGATAGGCTTATCTCTTAACAAGTAATTTGCATGATTCAAGCTTCTAGGAATTGCATTGACATCGATTAAAGAATAAAAAGAACTCAAATGGTGAATGGATGATATATCTATGTGAAAAACAAACGCAAATTGTAAACTCTTGAGCAAGCATAACCGTTGCATAAAAATAAAGCACTTAAAATACAAAATAATTAACACAAACAACCAATGAACCTCACAAGATGTACCTCAATTTCCACTATGAAATTCTTCTGGTGCACAGGGAATGCTGGGTTTCTGGCATGATTCATTGCCTTTTAAGTTTGAACTGCCAAAGAAACATCACCACGGAATTAATAAATACAAATTCTTTCAAACCTTATCAATGTGGTTTTGTGCTTAGTTCATATTAATGTCAAATTTAATGAAATATAATTGGTCAGATAAAGATACGATCATTGTTGCTCTATCTAACACATCATGATGCAGAAGATCTTCTGCACTACATTTGTTTTTTCCAAATAAAATGACCAATAAGTCTTCATACACGAGATTTTCTCAAATTCATCCAGACAAGCTAATATCATTTCAGCCAAGATATGCCTGATACCCATTAATATTCTGAAAGAGTAAATTTAATGTCAATTGTCAAACAAAAAAATAAAAAAGAAAATGTGTACAGCAGATTATCTGGAGCAGCAGAGTAAAGCCCCAGGAAGTCTGAAGAGCAAAATTTAGCTTGATATTCAAGCAGATCAGCACCTTTGTTCCCAATATAAGTGTCTATTAAACATATCAACGAGATGCTGAACCCTTATCAGATAGTTGATCTAAAAATCTAACATAATCAAAGACACGTAAGATAGAATGCTGGAAAAGTTCCAAATATGGGATTGGAACAAAGAAATATAAAGGAAAAGTGGATTGGCAAAGAAGAGTCCATGAAGGATCTTCTCACACGAGGAATTAACTTTGAAGTTTCTCGCGAACTCGTCATTGCCAACTTTAATTATCATTACCAACGAGAAAAATTCATGGACGTAAACTTGGACACAACACAGACCAAATGAACTGGTTGAAGTTTAATTCCATCCATTTCCATATTGAGGCCACAACAGGACTGGTTGAATTTGCTTAGGCGCACTAAAGACAGACATCAAAATTTGACACAAGAAGGAAACAAACTAAATGAAACAAAATAGGTTCAATTACTCAACCAACTTTAAATTTTTTCGAAGCTACAAAATCAAAAATTACAGAAACTCCAGCCAAACCGGAACAAATATGTAACCCCAAAAATCACGCCAAAATTTTCCAAAAGCTTTTATCTCGGGTAGAGTTAAGGCCAGAGGAATTCCCTATCTCAAGTCACTGGAAACTTAGAAAATCAACTCAAAATTCAGTTGAACCGAAGTTTTCTCATTCAGCAATTTTTACAATCAGCTCTACAGCACTAAAGATTTTGGCAAACTCCACCCAATAAAAATAAAATAAACAAAAACAAGTGACTTTAAATCAAACTCCAGCCCTCTGTACCTTTCAATTCGTATACATCCAAGAAAATTAAAAAACAGATACTTACTGCGACTTCCGGTTGAGCTCAAGAGAATGGCCGATCGGTTGCTTCTTTTTCCTCTCAACGGTGGCTCTCAGTTCCCCGGCAAAATGGGGGAAACTGACATTTAAATGGGGCCCTTATTAAAATAATTGGGCTGAAACGGTGTGTTTTTCCAAAAGAAATGGGCTAATGTTGATGTTTTGCCCATAAAAACTTTCAGGCCCAAAAAAGAAAATTGCAACATTCAATTGGCAATTATATTTTGGCTGGAAATTTGTGCATTGGGGATATCAAATTGAGAGCAAATTGTAATCGTGAAATTTCTCTCTCTACACCAAATCCTCTGTAACCAAGCGATTTCCCTGACTGCACTTCCCACCTTCGGTCCAATGGACATGGAGATGGAAATCACATCCCCTCATGCCAGGATAAAGATAACCCAGCCACAAAGAAAGTAAAAAATAAAAAACAGGATGATCCTTCTAACACTTCTCAACAGGAAACTATTCATTCGGAAACCAATACACCTCAAATAAACTCACCTTGGTCTGAGGGTTCAACAACTTTCAGAGACCGTCTGCTCAAGGGACAAGACAATCAAAATATAAACAGCTTCCACATGACAAAAGTCACAGTTGAGGAGGGGGACGTGACGTATGGGATGAAGGACGGGGTCCCCTCAACTATGTTTTCCAAAAGAGTTCATAACCAAATGGAGAGAGCCATGACATTCACTCTAGCCATTCGACCGCTAGGCAGAGAATTCAGAAGGGACATATCTCCAAGAGGTTGAAAGGCCTATGAAAACCAAATGGAGACATCAAGCCGGTGGATTACATAGATGGATATCATCTTTACAGAGTAAACAACGAGGAGGACTTCTATTCCATCCTCCTGAATGCTCCATGGTCACTAGACGACACTTATATACTAGTTCTTCTATGGAGCAAACAACTCAACACCAAGGAGGATAACATAAACGCTGTCCCCGCATGGATTAGAATACCTGGACTTCCGGTGGAATACTTCCATGAA